AACAACACACACACACACACTCTCTCTCTCTCTCTCTCTCTCTCTCTCTCTCTCTCTCTCACACACACACACACACACACAATCCAATCCGGTTTCCCCCTATGAAGCACGTTCACATTGCACCATGTCAACCTCCGTCAGCCTCACTCCGCGATTTGAAATCCGTCAACTCGGCCCCGAACACCAAGACTGGGCCAACGCAATCGTCATCCACAGCAATATCTTCTGCTCTCCTATCTGGCCCAACGTGTACTCCACGGACAATACCAGACGCCTCTACCAAGGCTTCCTAGGCAGCGAATACCTCATCGCGCACCAAATCGCTTCGGGTCTATCCTACGGCGTCTTCGACAAAGAATACAAGTACAAACTCCCCTCCTCCGAGCAAACCGGAGGTAAACTCCACTGGAACCTAACCGATGAGACCGCAACGAACGAACAGCTCCTCGAACAGATGGATTTCCCACTGGTTTCGGTAGCGATGAGCTGCAATGGATCCAACCCGGTGGATATCAACCGGTTAGAGCAGCTGTTCGGGGCGCTGCCTCTGTTCCCCAAGCTGATGCAACGGCTGGTTGGGGTCGATTCTCGAGGTGAGGTGACGACGCATGAGGGGACATTGATGAGGAATGGGACTTCGACGAGGGCCGATTACGAGGGGTACGGGCTGATGAAGCGGACGGCGCATTGGCTGATGCGCGAGGCGGCAAGTAAGGGGTTTAAGGGCATTGAGATTCCGTGCTTCCACGATGCGGTTATTGGAGTTTGGTCGAATCCACCTGCTCCCTTTCGGGGCGAGATTGTTGCCCAGCTTAATATTAAAGACCAGGGGGAGGTGGATGAGGATGGGAAGGTCATCAAGCCGTATGCTCATGTTGATCAGCGGATTGCTAAAATTTACGTGACGCTTGTTTGAGGGTGCGTTGATCTGTGATTGAGAGAGCTGGATCTTGGGACTTGGTGGGGGGGGCTGGAGTGTTCCTGAGTTATTTCGATTCTTAAGCATTTGTTTGAATAGCGAGCAAGAATTTGAGGAATTGGTAGTACATAGCGATTACCATTGATATTGTCATCGGGCGTAAGTTCTACGTATTCACCCCCACCTCCTATTCCATAGATCATGTCCCCGGAGGTCTATATAGTACATGGTGCTCTCTAACCTAACCTCGTCCAAGTATTATGCGTGGAAGGCCAGACCTTCCTCAGCAATCTTCTCTGTGACTCCATCCTCGACGAATTCGAATCCCAAGGCCCGCCAGTTCAGCTCTTTCCGCCAGTGCAATCCATAGTACAACCGTTGCGGCTGGTCGGCATGCTCAGTGGACGTCTTTTCTTCTGACTCGTGCTGATCCTGATCCTGCGTTCTTTCGGACGTCTCGTGCGCCTCGTCCACGGGGTCCGATGCTGGGACTGGTGCGATTACAGGTTCCGATGCCAGACCTCCTGTTATCATCCGTCCTTGTCGGGGAAATATAACCGCCCGGAAGCGCGAAAGAAGAAGACCCATCGAGCAACAAAGGCAAGGCTCATGCGTCAAGTACACGTCAAGGTCTGTGCAGAGGTAGCCGCCTTGAGCACGCGAGCGAATTCGAGGTTCTTGAGAACTGTCGATAGGTTTGGGGATGGCCCCGGTATCTGTTTTCTGATATTTGCCCGGCACGGGCGATGAATCATCGGGATCAGCCAATGGCTCGGAGCCGGAGACGTCCGACTGAGAGAGGAAAAATTTCTCTAATTGGCCTAGAGGTAGCTGTTCGTTAGACTCATTTCCATCTTGTTTACACCTCCCATTAGCAACCAAGTCCGCTGCGCGCATTAGCGCGTGCAGCTCCGGCCCGCCTTCAACGTCTGAGTTATATGTTTGCGCATTGGGGTTGGGCCCTGCACCTAGCTGTCGTTCAGACTCTGACATTGCTCCGGCCTCTCGGCGCGCGTATCGTACGTCACCTGCAACAGCTACAATCGCATCGGCCCAATGGATTCCTACATCCTCGTCGGTCACACCAATGTGAGCCTCAAGTTCTGGATCGACAACCACTGCGCCAACCCTGCGCCCGTGTCCAGAATTCTCTGCTTCATCGGCGACCTTGCGCGCCAGGGCTAGATAGCGTCCTGCCTTTGGTTGATGGAGTCAAGAACACGGCTTAAGGTTTGAGGAGGTGGCGCAATAGTAGCTCTGGGGGTTGCAGGGTTAAATATGACGGGCCACATGGTTTTAGACCAGTTCTCAGCTTGTCCAACCGTCAAGGGTGGCTCCAGTGGGATGCGAATGATCTGGAGTTCAATATTTCCTACGCCCTGAGACGACTCGGATGGGGTTTCGACTGGTGGCGCAAACGGAGCCAATAGCTTCTCAAGTATTTCTGCTTCGGGTAAAGGAGGAGTAATCAGAGTGAAAATTGTCTGCGTCGATGGCTCTCCCTTTATGAGGGTAGAACGTAGGCCATCGGGTAGTTGAGTGTGCTTTGCGAAGCGTCGAAGGTGGTTCAGAGGACGAGAAGGGTCGCGAGGAAAGGCACTGTCCAAAGCCCTATTTGTTACCGGTCAGTGCACTGCCGAAATAGTAGTCGTATCAAAAAACAAAAGCTCACTTTATCACTTTCGAAGCACTTTTCACATTGACTTCTACTACATATGCATCCGCTGGGAATTGTTAGTAGCGCCAACAGCTTCCACCCTAGACGTGGGGGGACGCACCAAATTCTTCTCGTGGCCGCGCCTCTTGAACAGTTCTAACAGGGATAACCTGTCCGGGAAGTGGCTCTATGCCGCGAAGTATCTCTTGTACATCCATTGAGTCGTACATGTTCTGAAATGATTACTTGAATCGCGGGGTATCGATCTGCTAAACGACTGAAAGCTCGGGGCTCTCAGAGAAGAACAATGTATGGGAGCTAACACATTCTGTTCACGGCATTTTTCTGGCCTTGCAACGGCGGAAATTGCATTACTTCTGATCCCCGGGGTTCCATTGAGGGAAGAATGATAGAGGACTCGAGATCGACATGTTTCCATGGATCGCAGCAACCCTGTACCCTGTGACCTAAGCCCTACTTCCAGCTATTTCAAGACTAGCCATTGAATGCCTGAGGCATAAACTTACGTCATCATTTTTATTGCCTTTAGATTAAAGTAATCCACTCATTATTGGATTAAATCACTACGTTGATTACATCTAGTAATCGTATACATACATTGTTGCAGGGTAGGTACAGTGCTATAGTAAGTACTTCCTTGACGCCAGTCACAATAACACCAGTATAGCTCGATATACAGCCTAAAAACATGGCAAAAGAGAAAAAAAATTTGCGATGAACAACAACAAAAATAAATGAACCGAGAACATGAATAAAACTAATCGTCCACCACAGTTGGGTTTATGTATTAGCACAGTCATCTGTCTGTACCTTTCTTTAATGTGATATGTACTAAGACAATAGGGGATAATGCTGATCCCCTTCATAGAATTTTAAAACGGTAAATAACGCTGCTGCATGCTATGCAAGTAATCTCAAACCCCATCTAGGTCGAACAAATGGTAAGTAGAAGGCATATGTTGCAATGGAACCTACTCCTTCAAGGTTCGCGTTGGATCTCATATCCTTCACACCTTTCAACTAGACTCTGGTAGTAGTCTTCAAGCACTTCCGGCTGAGGGACAATGCGCCACTCTACACGGAATAGAAATTCTAACTCAAGAAGAGCCAACTCCGTCATACTGATACCGCCCACCCGAGCATAGGTCTTGTTCGTCCAGAAGCTATCGCTCAGCCCTTTGCTCGCAACTGTTGCGCTAGCAATGAGGAATCGGTGAATAGTGAGACTAGAGACAGTAAAGGCGGGGTAAAGAGCGCAAAGGCGGTCGATATAATACACCATGCTCAACAAGATCGGAGGTGAAAGTGTGGCATGAGTGGTCAATCGCTGCAGATAGTCATTGACGGAAATCCGCGGAGGAGATCGGGAGTGAAAGCGAGTCAGCCGACCTTGATGGAGCGGGATTTTGTCATTGAACCGAATAAGTTCCATCAGCATGCTGGAGATTAGCACAACGATATCCCGAGGATCGGCGAGTTCATATCGAGCTGGCAGCAACTTGACTGTGGGATTGGAAGGACGCAGCCGCTTCGATTGCGAGCCCTCCAAATCCGTGCTCCCTATCCCACTGGCAAGTCCACCATTAGCGACAGGGTCGTTCGGACTGTTGCGCTTATTAGACCCTGCGCCGTTGCTATTTGGCGCGGGCATTGAGGCGGCCACGGGAGGTTGTGTGGGAGCGGGAGCGGAGGCCTGAGCTTGATTTACAGCGGGAGGGCCGTTATTGTAGGTATAACAAGGGGCACTTGAAGGGTTTGTGTTGGTATGGGCGGCGGCGGCGGCGGCTGCGGCGGCGCTTTCAGCGGTAGACGCGGCAGTGCTGTTTCCGCCCCCAAGGGAGGTCAGCCCAGCGGACATGCGACCGCGAGGGAGATCCCCTGAGGGCCCGGGAGGGGACGAGGCAACGGTGTGTCGATTTAGAGCTGAACGAAGCTCTTCGATGGCCACACGGGAAGAATGGGGAGAGAAATGACTACCGGGCGCAGCTGTCGGGTTACCAACAGGCTCATAATGCTGGTTATGTGAGATAGTCGTCGACGAGTGACGAGAAAGAGGAGGAGATGAGAGAGAGGGAGGAGGGCGAGTGGGAGGAGAGGAGGGTGAAGGGCGAAGGGCGGAGGAGGGCGAGGGCGATGAAACTAGCATCTCCGCCCAACGATACCACCACGTGGGCGCACGACTGAACGACGTGCAATGGGGTTGGCAGACGCTGCGAAACCTTCTGCTGCTGCTGCTAAGAATGGCCGCGTGCCCTGGCGCATCGTGATCTGCGGGGCTTCAGCTCTATAGAAGAAGCTGAATATGGGAAGCGATGAGGAACACCTATTTTAACAATAGAAATTGTTCCAAGGAAAGGAGAAGATGGGAAGAGGGGGAAAAGAATTATGGGGGAGGATTTTTAGGTAATTAAAAAAAAAAAGAAAAAAGAAAAAAGAAAAAAGAAAAGAAAAAATTCCTCTCCCACAATACAGGTAAAGCTGCAGAAATTGTTCAGGCAAAAATCAAGGAATATGTCACAAACACAACGAATTTCTTTACAATTATCCAATCGGAGGTCTTTGACAAGGGCTAGAATCCAAGACGGATAAGGAACGTTACCGTCCCGTTACAATTGAGTTCTCGGGCACACGATGGGTCATGGCTGTCATGCATTGTACAGTACCGCCAGAAAATCTATTCAATAAGGGTAAAGCGCTAAGGGGTAGAGAAATGGCCACCGGATTTCTACCCGATGAGCCCCGTACGTTGTACTCCGTACTCCGTAATCCGTAAAACATTAGGAGAGCTTGGGATGGTTCATCCTCGTATAAAGACATCACATCCATGCCATTTCCGTGGGTCAAGTGCAACGAGCAGATCGAGGAATCTTATGCTACTATAGGAGCGACCATCCGTCCCCAAACCTGCAGGTTCGCTTCTATCTCTGCAATATACTGATACCTTGCCTATAATGCCCCTCAGACCAGCACCGGGTAAGTGTTCAAGTACAGGGTTTTGGTCTCACAATGAACACTACCGGAGGAATACGAGACTGAAACCCTTTTGACAGCCCGCCCGAGTTAAGGCTGCTGCTGAAAAAGCCCATCCATAAGGCTGAATCACATGATTAAGCTGGCGTTGGCCCATATCCGGAACTCGGGGAAACTGAGATCCCGCGTGGACGAGTGACATCACATGACCGCGGCAACCGAAAGCGGTGACTCGACGGTATCGGCATTACTTTCTGTAATGTTGTACTCCGGTAAGGGTAACGCTAACCTTAAGGAAGCTCTCAGCAACATCTCCTGCTCATAGAAGGAAATCGGTCGGATGTCAGCTTCTCTGAATCAGTATCGAAGGTTCACCGTTATACATCGCTTTATTCTCTCTTCATTGTCTGTTTCCATAGACTTCGCCTAGCTCATATTGCGTTATATTACAATAATAGTACATAACGATTCCTCCATACGCTAGGTACTGTATGTACTTGGCTGCTCATTAGACGCCATTCATTCGTATATCATCGCCGGCCACGACTTACCTCGCTACTTGTACAAAACCCCTCCCCTGCATCAACACTCTGTTTCGGCAACATCTATCCACCTCCCCTTCTCACACCCCTCGGACTATTCCCGTATTCTCCTTCTATTTATTCACTGCTCAACTCTCTTATTTACCAAAGCGGTCTGATAGACATCCTCCCGCGGGAGGCGGTGTTCCGACCATGACTCGCGCTTCAACACCTCCGATACTTCTAGAACTTCAAAGCGCAGATTCTTTAACATCGCAAGCTTCAGCGCTTCGAACCCTCAAAAATGAGACAATTGGCCATGATCAACGCAAAGAAGCCTGGATCCGGTGGGGTATAATCCCCATTCTGGCCAAGGTCCTTGCCTCCAGGCAGACTAGCGGAAAGAACACCGAGCTTAATGGGCCGACCAAAAGCCAACAGTCATCGAGTCGCAAGCTGGAGGAAGATGAGACGTGCCTACAGGCAATTATAGTACTTGGTAGTATAGCACAAGGTATTTCTATTAAAGTGGGAGTTCTGTCCGTCGCTCTGGCTCAGGGACTGATGACCATTCTCAATCAGGCGGTGCAGCTTTCCTTTCCCCTATCCTTTCTAGCGGCATTCTCTCGATCCTCCTGTCTATATTATCATCTCCCGACTGCCCTCAATCTTTCGTTCTCCCCATACTGCGAACCCTGAATAACATCGCGGATCGGCTACCACTGCAAAGCCAACAACAATGGCCGAAAGATACACGTTTAGCCGATCTACTCTTCTCAGACGAACATATCAGCTGTCTGTCACACATTCTCGGGCAGGACTATGGGACATATCAAGCGCAGGCATCCGTTGAACTTGCTGCGGCCCTTATTGGAAAGCTTTGCACAGAGGAAACTCACAAGGCAACCCTGGCCGACTGTGGCGTGTTGGATGCGCTGGCCGTGAAGGTGGCATCATTCGTCGTTGCTCAGGGCTTTGTACTTCCAGGTGCGGAGGCACACGTGCAGGAGTCCGGCGCTCTTGGTTCTCTACCTCCTCCTGCACCCCCAAGTGCCAAACTGGCTCCGATCCTTCGTGCTACCACGGTCATTATTGAACATTCTAAATGGCGTGCGGAGCACTTTCTCTCATCGCCTGGTATAGTGACTGTTTTCCCCAAGCAGGTGCCTGGATTTGCCCCTTCTGATATCAAGACCGGCCCATGGGGTTCGACATATTTTTCGGGTTCAGCTGTGCCACGCCACCTCGGAGCCAGTCCCCTCGAGCATCTCCTACCATCTGTTCCACTGTCTCAAGGGAAAGCTTCTGCTAGTGCTACCAACTTTCCACCTCTTGGTCAGCCACATGGACCTCAACGCCGGCATAGCCATTCATTCCCAACCCCCTTCTCGATCTTGGAGGCGCCGAACTCTGATGATGATGAGAATGCTATCGTTCCTTGGCTTCTATATACTATCCGTGCGGAGTGTGGCATGGTGCGGTTGATGGCTGCACGTCTGGTCACAGTTCTATACCGTCTTGGCCTAACGAAGAAGCTTCGCGTCTCGATGCTTTGTTACTTGTTGATTCCAATTCTTATCCGGATGCTCGATAAGGACTATGAGATAACTGGTGATGACGGTGTCCAGTATGGAGGACTGATTCTGTCCACTGACCGTCTGAAAGAGGAAGCCCCGGCGGTGCTTGCTACCCTGCTGATCGACGATCAAGAGCTGCAGAAGCATGCAGTCGATGGAGGTGCTATTAAGCGACTGTCTCAGCTCCTGAAGGAAACTTATAATCCAATTCAAGAGAACGCTAAACCGATGTGGCATGCCGATTGCGGGGAAAAGATTGAGACTACTTGCACACAATCTGCAGAGTGTATGCTAGGTCCTCCCGGATATTCTCCCATTCATTGTCATGTCATGCGATACCGGGAGAACATTCTTAAGGCTTTGGCCGCTCTGGTGCCTTTCAAAGATGAATACCGCAAGACTATCTGTGACAATGGGGTAGTCCCCTATATCATTGATTCGCTCAAACCGTGTCCGAACGATCCTCGAGATACATCTAATCCGAAAAACACTGCTGCTGATGGCAATCCTACGCCCACCCTACTAGCAGCTTGTGGTGCTGCACGGATGCTCACTCGCTCAGTCAGCGTATTAAGAACCAGTTTGATTGATGCCGGGGTAGCGACTCCTTTATTCGCCTTGGTTCGACACCAGGATATTGAAGTTCAGATTGCGGCAACGTCAGTTATATGTAATCTTGCGCTGGACTTTAGTCCAATGAAAGAGGTAGGTTTTTACACTAACTCCGTGCGCGGAGGTTGTACTAACGCTTCCCAGGCAATTATATCAGCAGAAATACTTCCAACATTATGTGAGCATGCACATTCTACGAATACAAAGCTCCGGATTGAGTCGCTTTGGGCGTTGAAGCATGTCGCCTATAACTCAACCAACGACGTTAAGATGAAGGTCATTAACGGCTTGGGACCTACGTGGATCCAGCAAATCATAACGCAAGACCCAACTAGTGCTCTAGCTAAACGAGGGATGGATGATGATATGGAAAGTGGCACCTCAACGGGCATGAGTCGAGCCAACTCCGCAGGGGAGCAAGTTGATCTGTTGAATCCTGTCGAGGACACACAGGAACGCGATGAGGATATGAAAATGGCCGATTCCTTACCGTCGTCTAAGATGAGCTTGGAGATGTTCCTCCCCGATGTTAGTCGGCGTCGCAAGCTTGCACTGCATGGGGACCTCGACCAAACCACTCAAGCACGCCAAGATGATATTGCCGTACAGGAACAGACTTTTGATCTCTTGCGTAATCTTGTTTGTGGCCCGGGTGCATCCGAGATGATTGATCATTTGTTCAAGGAGATCGGGCAGGATTTGATCTTGGATGCACTGGCAGATAAACTACGGCCTCGTACCATCCAAGTGCCACATAAACGAGAATCATCAACCCACAGAGCTTTACAAGTTCCGACAGAGATCCTGGTAGCAGTTACATATGTGATCATCCACCTCGCTGCTAGCCTCCCATGGCACCGCCAACTTTTGGTCTCACACCGTGACCTCTTACGTTATCTCATGGGGTACTTCGAGCACGCCAACCGTGATGTGCGGACGAATTGTGTGTGGGTAGTGATCAATCTTACATATGAGGATGACTCGAGTGATCGAGACGGCTGCCGCGAGCGAGCATACAAGCTGCTCTCGGTTGGGGTGATGGACCGGTTGAAACGCTTAGAAGAGGATCCAGATCTTGATGTCCGAGAGCGAACTAAAACAGCCTTACATCTGGTAAGGGCCTTGACCCAGGCCTAACGGTTATCACCTTCTACCGTATTTGACTTTCTTCTCTGCGCTTGTTTTGGCCATCTTCCGCTAAAATTATGATCTCTTTATTGCACAGTTTCATGCTACATGGGCATGCACAGCTCCATGAACTATGGTAGGCGTTGGGATGATTGTATAAAGACATTGAAAGGATCATGATAAAATGTACATGTTGGCTTATGCAAACAAAATTCTTTATTACTTCGTCTTCCTCTTCTTGTTTCTATTTTTCTTCCTTCCTTGACGACCGGGAAACTTTCGAGATGTCGTCTCTTGTGGGAATATCATCCATCCTTCTGGTTTGGACGAAGTACTATCTATCTATGTACATTTGTATGTATGGAGTATGGAGCACATACTATGTACTTGTACCTGTTTTATCGATAAGATAAAAAGTGGGGCCTGACCAGATACGTCATCGGAACGGCTTTAGTATAAAGCATTTCCGGCGAATCAATCCCCTAGCAAGTGCTCAGGTACATAACGCCATCAATTCCTGGCCTCCTGTATCTCTCGAGTTCACGTAAACAGCATCATCTTACGAACCAAGAGTTATGGCTCCAGTCCCCGCATCGCTGTTGCGTGCTCTCTCCATCTCCGATCCCTCCAAAGCAAGCTTGACCACTGCTGGTTTGGGGTCGGGCTTCACCAGTACAGGAGCCATTCGAGCAACGGTTCCATCTACAGACGGTCAGTATGAAGAAGAGAGACGGTACTTTGTCAAAACATCCGCAGATGGTAAAGCTGCCGAGGAGATGTTCCGAGGGGAATATGAATCCTTGAATGCTATCGCGACCTCCGTACCAGGATTTTGTCCCCGCGCTCTAGCTTGGGGGTCTCTAGAAGAAAGCAACGGAAAGAGCTTCTACCTAGCGACTGAATTCCTGGACCTAGGGGGTGGTGGCCGGACGGGCCAATCTCTGGCTCAGAGACTAGGAAAGCTTCATTCTACTCCAGCCCCGCTAGATCCTGAGACGGGGAAACGCCGGTTCGGATTCCCCGTCCCGACCTTCTGTGGTGATACTAAGCAACCCAATCGATTTCATGATTCATGGGCAGACTTCTACGCCAATGAACGCTTGATGATGATTCTCGAAACCTCGGAGAAGCGCAATGGCCGAGACGCCAGCCTGCGTGGTCTAGTGGAGCGGACGGCGCATACGGTTGTACCTGCCCTTCTAGGGGATGATCACCTAGGCTACGACAAGAATGGGAATGGAGAAGGTGTTACACCTGTGGTTGTTCATGGGGATCTTTGGAGCGGTAATGCAGATCGTGGAAGGATCGTGGGGAGTGGGCGGAAGGGAGATGAAGAGGCGGGTGACGTTGTCTACGATCCATCAGCATGCTATGCGCATAGTGAGTATGAGCTGGGAATCATGAAGATGTTTGGGGGCTTTGGGTCGACATTTTTCACTGCCTACCATAAGATTGTCCCAAGGACTGAGCCGGTGGAGGAGTATGAAGACCGGGTAAAGCTGTATGAGCTGTAGGTTTTATTCTTTCCCCCGCTCGTCTAACCCACAGGGCTTCTAACCGCGTCAGATATCACCATCTAAATCACTACGCCATCTTCGGGGCTGGGTATCGATCGGGAGCAGTGTCAATCATGCAGAATTTGATCAGGAAGTATGGTACTTAATCTGAACCGCTGCTTGGGGTTTTGGCGTGGCAAATTTTGCTTTCGCATGGCGTCGTTCTCTACTAGATAGATCTACATGCTGTTGAACTCACCGGTATTGGCCCTGTCCCGAGAGAATTAATAATCCTGTGGTCCGATGGCACCATCGTACATACTGACTCAGCATGGGGAAGTAATACCGTAGTATGTAAGGACACACTGTCTGTGTAGTAGACCTCATGTTCCCCCCGCGTCTTCCAACTTCCATTTAATCTCTCTCTTAGCAGCACCTGTGGATTTTCAACATGTCCCCCCTTCCAGATGCAGCAGTTCACCCTGAAGCAACGGGGACAGCCAAATTGTTGGTCGAAAATCACCGTGCGGAGCAACCATTGAAGCTGTATGCCGGGTGGTTCTGTCCGTAAGTGTATTTTAGTACCAGCTAGTGTCTACAGGTCCGTACGATAGACCAGTTTACTGACCTGGACGACAGCTTTGGTATGTCTCACTTGTGAATCTTTCAACACGCACGACATATCTAGTACTTGCATCTTGGCTAACCGCTTCAAGTCCAACGGGTCTGGCTCGCACTAGAGGAGAAACAAATCCCTTACCAGTACATTGAAGTCAACCCCTACCACAAGCCACAGTCGCTTCTCTCACTGAACCCGCGCGGTCTAGTGCCAACATTATCTTGCGTGGTTAAAGATGGGGGCGCCCAGACAGCCAAGCCCCTTTATGAATCCACAGTTATTCTTGAGTACCTCGAGGAGGCCTATCCAGAGAACTCTCCACGGCTCCTCCCGGCGGGCCCCTACGACAGGGCCCGAGTACGCATTTGGATCGACTATGTTACCTCGCGGATTATCCCAGCTTTCCATCGATTTCTCCAATACCAGCCCAAGTCGGGAGGTGAAGACCCAACAGCTAACTTAGAGAGGCTCAGACAGGAGTTCCTGGGTCATCTCAAGGAATGGACTAGGGAAATGCATGCCGACGGACCATTTTTCTTAGGAGATCAGATTGGACTTCCAGATCTAGTACTCGCCCCATGGGCGGTCCGGTTGTGGGTATTTGATGAATACAAATCAGGTGGGCTTGGCATCCCGGCGGAAGGCAATGGAGGGGAGGATGAACCTGTTTGGCAGCGGTGGAGGAAGTGGCTGAGAGCTGTGGGGGATAGGAGAAGTGTGAGGGAAACTACGAGTGAGAAGGGGTACTATCTCCCAGTCTATAAACGGTATGCGGATAATGTGGCCCAGAGTGAGTTGGCAAAAGCTACCCGTGAAGGAAGAGGGGTGCCATAAAACCTATTTGACTTAGAATTGTGGAGGAAACTATGTCATACACTGGTTACTACTATACTCCGTAGTAAAGATATATCATATGTACATTCATTCAGCCACACCAGTGAGGTGGTACTCACCTGCAACCCAGATCAACAAACAGAATTCCAGGGACCATATAATGCCAACCCCTTCAGTTAATAATCTTCCACCCCCCTCCACCCTTCTTTAATTGAAACTGTCCATGGACGGGTATCTATGACCTGTTGTCCTGATGTGTCTGATAAGCCGGCGGAACAATAATTTCCCGTGTATCACACGTGACTCGAGATCATCGTCAATCACGCTCCTCCATCCCAAGGCTATCTGGATTTCAGCCTTTCGAACATCATCGTCCGGTTGTTCAGAGAGTTCTAGTACCATTTGCAAGTATGGTGCCGGAGAAGAAGGATGGCTCGAACAATCAGGCCGCGTCGGAGACAAGCATACCGGAGCCGCCTTCCATTCATCCCTCTTTCATCCAAGTAGCCAAGCCGTATATCTTCGAGCAGACCATTCAACAATGTATTGCGGCCATGGGCGTCAATCCCCTACGCGAGGAGGGACTGCGCCTGCAAGGAGTGACGTGGATCGATAATGTTCGCCGAGTGTTATATTTGTACGTATCCAGTAGCGTCTGCTTGGTCTACTCATTATTCGCCACTCCTAAAAAGAAACAGCAACGTGCCCTTTAGAAAAAGAGAGTATGCTAACAGATTAGACCTATCCGTACCTTCAATACGGCTGTGGTGTATTATCACAAGTTTCGACTCGTTCATCCTGACAGCGAGTATAATTATATGGTAGCTACCCCTCTTAACCACCTATCTAGGTAAAATATCTGACCGTCTAGGATGCTGCTGCGGCTGCATTGTTTACAGCTTGCAAGATCGAGGACACATTGAAAAAGTCCCGGGAGATTGTATGTGCAGCATACAATCTCAAATTACCACCTTCAGAACATATATCTCCCGACAATCCGGTATGTTTTGCATTTGCCTTGCACTTGATCCCTCGCTAACGTTTTTTAGGTCTTTGAAGTACATGCCAGAGGTATCATCGGATTGGAGAGGCTCATGCTTGAGGCATCAGGCTTTGATTTTCGGACGCGTCACCCGCAGAAAACCCTGATCAAGCTTGCCAGGCATTATGGCCTGACGTCGCAGTCGCAGGTGTCTAATGTGGCATATCGCATTTCACTGGACCTCTATCGTACTTTTGCCCCAATCAAGCAGACTGCCTCAACTATGGCTTTTACCTGTCTAGAATTGGCAGGTCGTCTGCTGGACCAGCGCATTGAGGCGGTCGAAATGGGCGTAGACTATGAGAAGTGGAAAACCAGCCGTGAAGAAGTAATGGGTAAGTGCTCCTTGCAAATACCCTATACTAAGGCATTTGCTCATCGTATCAGAAACCCTCTTTGACCTACTGGAGCTGTATACCCACAGTCGCGGCTCCACCTCAGTCGGCCCTCATTTCCCAGCCGATCGATTCCTCACGGTCCGTATTCCATTGAACAAAGAGGCAGAAACCCAAGGACTCCCTCGTTACACACACTGGGTTAATGAGTCGGGAGACCCCAAAGCTACCAATGGCGCAAACAGCGGCAAGGAGTCTGCCCTGGAGAAAGCAGGCACCAGGCTGCATCCGCTTACACCTGTCGCTGCCAATGGGGAAAGACCCAGAGCTGGCGAGAAAGGCCGGGATGGAGCCGTGCGCTTTATGCTCGACACAGAGTGTGCGGATGCAGAGAAGGCGCGTGTCTCCGAGTATTTCAAGATCGAAATGGAAGAGTACGAAGTGGAAGAATGAGCTATCCAATCCCTGCATCATAGCTACATTACCCCATCCGGCTACCATACTGCGACTAGTGCAGAACGGCCTGCAATCTGCACGTCTGATTCTATCGGTTCGCCCGCTGATTTTGTGACAATTACTGGCACCGAACAAAAGTACACCGGGCTCTGCCTGGATCTCGAGAGGTGGGATAGTGGCACCAAATAAAAGGGTACCATCTGAAGCTAGGCCAAAATTGCAAGAGGCAAAGCCCACCCGTCGCGCTGAATGCCAGGGAAGATAGGATGGGAAAAGCGGAGTGATTGACCCTACAATGATATGACCCAACGATTTCGATACCAATGTGCATCGGATATTCCATGGAGTCTGCCCACTATTTCACAGTGAGAAAGAAGGCACTGTTCAGAATAGTATATCTATCTATCTAAGTCACCTATTCATAGAATACAAGTTACGAACTTGAGCAAGTCGGCACAGCAAATACCACCGGTGTGCATAACCCGGCAATTGATCAAGGTATATTTCCTATATATGAAGGACTTTACATTGCCCATTTAGACGCCCGTCTCGTTCCGTCAGACAATGGCGACTTGACATATCAGAATATGATACGGAAAGAAAAAAAAATACAATATTCCCTTTCGGACGTGTACCTAGACATGAACCTAACCTTCTGACCGTAATTTCCCGACACTATACAACAATGACCCAATGTAAAGGCAAGAAGAGAGAACAAGCGTAAGGTATGACAGACGTTCGGTAGCCACCGTTGAGAATGAAGTTTCGTTTGAAGCTCGTTAAAGGGCTCTAGCGATGTCGAATAACGACCGATTAAAATGGTATTCTAAAACATAAGTCGCTACTTTTAAAATTCCGAAATTTTTGAGCAAGTCGGGAGGGGGTTGGGTTTCGTCACTGAAAGGCAGAATGGAAAAGGCATGGGTCATTATCGAACGTTCTTCACCGGCGCTTGAGCTCAGTGTTCAGACACTCCAAAATCTACACGTCGTTAGTTATTTGATATATAACAAATTTTAAGGATATTTGAGGGTATACTGACCGTCTCGGAAACAGTGCCCTGGTTGTACAGATACTTGCCCAATCCTCGGACCACCTCTAATTGCTCCTCGACTGTCAGGCCATTGATGGCGGTCTCAATGACATCTCCAACGGTAGCTTTGTACACGGCAATAAAGCTATGGTAATACATATACGCAAAGAAGCCCATGATGAACTGGCAGTCCATCCGATCGGTGATACCGCCATGGCCCGGGATCGATTCGCCAAAATCTTTTATTTTGAAGGTTCGCTTAAGCCCAGAAGCGAAGAAGCCGCCGAAAGGGGCAATTAGGGAGGCGAATGTAGCGAAGATCAAAATATGGAATTGTATGGGCTCGATGTAAAAGGTCTTGTCCACTCCGGTCCACTCCGGAACTTGGTACGGCTGGGGCATAAAAGCCGGGTTTGGGGTGCATTCCAACCCTGTCAGCACGTTGGATCCGAGATCATTTACCGGGCAGATGAAGTACTTGTAGCGCATTAGGACATTGGTCATGAAGTAGCCGAAGATTATGGTGCAAATCCAAGCACCGAGGAACCCCTCGACTGTCTTCTTGGGAGACAGTTGGATCAATTGAGTCCGGCCAAACGTGATCCCGCAAACGTAGGCAAAGATATCGTTGGTGATAACCAGAGACGCTGGGAGGAAAAACCATATCATTCCCTCCAAGATGTTGTTCATAACAAAGTGTGCCTGTACGACAATCAGGTAGAGTGCCATGTGAGTCCAAGCGAACTGTGTAAATTGGAACCGGTAGTGTCCCTTTTGCAAAGATGCAACAAAGAAGACAAATCCTACATTCTCGCATTAGAATCTTGAATGTTTGTCTTCAAGTATTCTGGAACAGGGAAAACAACTCACCCATGACGTAAAGCGTAAAGCTGATAAACCTGTGGTGAGTCGCGAGAGGAAGTAACACCTTGTCGACCAACAGGACGTGCTTAAAATAGTAGATGACGCTTTCACCGTACAAAAAGTACATGGTTGTGGCTAGGAAATACCAATTTAATGATTTAGTGAAACGGAGATTCTTCTCTTTGCTCGGCACGTTGGCAATAGCGATAACTTCCTTGAATGAGATGATTTGAACGGCAGTAACGATGCCAATTATGTAGATGTGGCCGGAGAACATGGCAATAAAGAAACCAAAGATCATCACGAAGGTCCATATTGTGCGAGTGATGAAGGTCTGCTTCTTTTTCTCGTAATCGGACATCTGCGGCTGTTCGGGTTTCTGGCAGCGTTTTCTGTTAGTCTCCTAGCAACATTGAGTAACTCGGGCCGCTCACCTCTTCGATGATCGTCTCGGGCTTGGACACGCTGCCATTCTTCGACGGACTTCCGGGTTCAGAAGCGGCATCGCTGGCATCTGAGATACTTAACCGACGGGTTTCTGACGCCCGGTGTGGGAACCTGACATTCCGACGTGGTTTGGACATGGTGTACTGAGCCGAGGGGAGAAAGGATGGCGCAGTACCTAAGTGGTATGCGTGGGGAAAGAGGGGAAAGCCTAGAAGAAAATCCTAAGGGGAACTGGGGGTCGGGACGGGGCCGACAAGGAAAGGTACGACAGGGGAGGGCGAAGAGGAGAAAGGGAGTGAGAAGGGGAAGAGAGAAGAGAGTGAGCACAGGTGATCGTCGTTAATAGATTAAAATTTCATGTGAAATAGCGACCGACTACGGTCGGCGGAAGCACGGACAGAAAAACCGGAGATCGAGACACCACTGAGTAGGACTCAACAAGCAATTCTCCGTCAATATTTCATTGACTGCGGTCCAAATCGCAGGGTTGATATTGAGGGAGCGGAGAAGAGGACGAGTAGGAAGAAGAGAGGGAGATGATGTCCCGTGGCCGCAGGTGACTTAGACGGGCTACTACGTCAGGCGTTATTTCCCCCTACTTTTTTGCTTACAACCCCAACAACCAACTCTCCATTATCTACCGCAGTCATTCTTTCACCCGTACGCCACTTTCGCCTTTCATTCTCTCATTCATGGCGATCGTGCGTCTTAGGGCATGGAAGAAAACGATGATGATTTCTTCTCCGATGATGGCTTCGACGATCTGCCACCGAGCACATTATTCCAGCTGGAACAGAACGCGGTCTTAGCAAACCAGGCTGCACAGCCTCAGCCTCAGACTATAGCGGCAATAGGTCAGCCCTCCCGAGCCTTTGCTAGTCATGATTTTCAAGCGGCAGCTTCCGAGCAGACCTTACCCCCTAATGTTTCATTAAACCCGCCTGCGCATTTACACACGGGATTGATCAGCGATTACGGCGCTTTGGATGTAGGGGAATTGGACGCGGTGGTTCTTGAAGATGAGACCGAGTCAATGCATGGGCTGGATCAACCAGCTGTGCCTGCCGAGCAGTCTGGCCCCTACCAGGTTGTTGCTAACCCGGAAGGGGAGGATGCACAAGCTTATCCCGAGGCCATGGAGGTTGAAGGGGAAACTTCACACACCCAGCGTGGCCATGTAGGTTACGGTATGATAAACGATAAGGTAACATCATTAGATCTCTGATCTGCATTTCTACAGAGCTAATTCTTGGCAACAGCTGGCAGCGGAGGATGAACGGTATAAGCGAATGACGGAAGAGCTGAGTGCGGCAAGATCTATGGCGGAAACAAAAGCCGGGGAAATTGCTATCATCCGATCAAATCAAGCGAAACTTACAGAAAATTACGAACGTCAGGTTACGGCCCTACGGAAGGCGATGGCTGAAGAGGTAGCTAGGCACAAGGAAGAAGTAGAGGCCGCACGTGTGGAAGGCAAAATGCTAGCTACGGAGAATGCATTTCTTAAGCAAGATCTTGCCGAAGAGTCCATACGGATCAGCAACCTGAAAGCGAAAGGCCGGGCAGAGGAAAAGCCAGCTCCAGGAACGCCAAAGAAACATAAAGCTCTGCCTTTCCGCGATGGATTCGATGATGATGAAATCCTTGCCGTCTCTCCCAGCAAATCAGCGCGGTACAAGCGAATGAGCCCGACGGTTGGTGGTAAACGGAAGAGGAGGCTGAGCGATGATAGCCCGATACCACTTCAATTAAGCCCACAACCGGAGCCTATGCATGTCGAAACTACTGTCGGTGACATGTCGGACGATGCATTAGATGAAGCCATACCGAACCGAACCGCACATGTGGGCGACCTAACGTCGCAATTGGTTAAGCGCCTATTGAACCATCGAACATTCCCCAACGAAAACAATGACATCGAAGTGATGGCTAGATTAACATTCCCATCAGAGCCCCAGCGAACGCTGTCCTCAATTTTATTGGAGGAAGTGGCAAACATGGATATCGGTAACTATTTACTAGAATACGCACGGGCTATAATTTCATTATGGTCCCGTGCTTTGCGCGAAAAATTCTTCGAGCCCGTTCCCATTTTCATGGGGATTATGCGGCATGTATATGCTCTGGGTGCGCCGTCATCTGCCTCCGAGTTAATTGACCACCTGGTACCACTATTACAAGAGTCGGGTGAAGTTAACGGCATACCCCGGTTTAAACACTCTCCCGTTTCGCGGCAAAATTTTGGACAGGTCAGACAGACGCCATTATCTGAGCTGCAACCTCTTGTAAACTCGACTGAGGCGCTGGGCCTCCTGTACCAAATGGCTTGCTCATGCTTACATATCGATCGCGTGTTGGAGAAATTCTGGCGATACATGCGCTACGACTTCATTCTGATGATGTTAAATTGCTCGCAATCCATAAGCGACATCATCCTAACCCTAAACCTCCTATCGACCAGCATTCGCATCGAGTCTTTCGGTTCAGTTCAGGACACGGAGCAGGACCAGATCGCAAACGAAAACTACATCGTTGATCGCGTGGCGAACCTTCTGAGTGAGACACCACAGGTCGACGAGGGACAGCCCCCTTACATGGCTTCGGAGATTTGCGATATGCGGCTGGAAGCGTTGTCTCTTTTGACATCAGTGGCTTTCAATCAAGAGGCCCCCGGTAGTACACATGGCAGCATGGTCATTGCGTCTCACTCCACGGCACTAGCACGACTAATCCGGGCCATGCACGACGAGCTAGATGCCTTGTATACATCACCGCCCGAAAAGGAGTTGCACGCCGCATTAGTAAATGGGTTGATGCGTCTAGTGTACGGAGTTATCCGTCGGCATCCAGCGGACGTCGATCTCCAGTCGAAACTCAGCCGAGTGGCGGGCGGAAAACAGAAATTTCTAGTGGTGCTGACGCGACTTGCGTTCAGTGAAGGACCGATACTAGAGGCCGGAATCGAGGATGACACGGTAGAGATGGCCCACGAGATTTTGGACGACGCTGTGAATCCTCAGGAAGCCGAGGCTCTGCTCGAAGCGTTCCCAAGTACCAAGCAGCAGGAATAGAAACAGTACAGGTATAGATGTACATGTAGATAGATATACGATGGAATGACAAATAATGATACGACAGTCCTGATATCAAAAAGGTATTGAGAAGGTCCATACATGGCGCGAGCAAATCAGACCAAGTGGCGGCGGTAATATGGGATTTTCAAAAAGCAAGGAACAAGTACATCAAGGTAATACACGAATTTGGTGTGAGAATGATATAACATAACCGGCAAGGTAGTGGGTCACGCAACTTGCGGGTCAGCTTGATATTGCATACAAAATGGCCTTTTTAAAAGCTCAATATCTTAGTTTATTCAAGTTCAATCTATCTCAAATTTTATATACAGCCTACTATATATTAAAATAATAAGCAGACAAGTTTAGAGAGTATAGAAATGGTTAATTACCTGGGTAATATATATTACATTGATTTTATCAGGACACAGGCATAATCCATAGAATTTACTCTTTAAAATAATTTTCTCTAATAAATATATAAGTAGTATATATACTAGTAATCCTTTACAGTTATAGATTGATATATAGTGTTGTAGTTGAGATATTGAGCTTTTAAAAAGGCCATTTTGTATGCAATACCAAGCTGACCCGGCAAGCTGCGTGACCCACTACCTTGCCGGTTACGTTATTGCATTGCGCATTATAAAGTACATATTTGTCTCTCTTCCCCATACCCCCGCGCAAGGCGAAGAAATGATGAAAAGAGAATTATTCCAGCAAGTGGAAAGGAGCCAAAGAATACGCCTGCCAATGACCCGAAGGCCGTTGGACGGATTGTTCCGCCGCGCTGTGCAATGCAGGGACCAATCCGTGGTGGACCGCCTTCTTGATCGCAGCCACCCAAACAAGGTAAGTATGAAGAAAAAAAGAAGAAAAAAGTTCAAAAAGGTGAAGGGGATCTGGTCAACTTATAGAGTTTGGTGGAGTCATGAAGATGACGCTAGTGGCAAGCGAGATCCTCTCATCCAATTATAAGCCATTAGTACCCGCTGATCTGTGAGACTCAGTAGTGCCTGATAGATATGGCATTAAGGCAAGTTTCAAGGTCATGTGCAAGCTATCACGTGCCACATGCGAAGTTTTGGCCGCTAGATCGCTGGATGAACAGCAGAACATAGTATCCAGGACACGCTCAACCGACTCGCCATCATGAGGAATAGGGCCACTACGCCGTTGAGCAAGCCTGTAAGCTTCCCTTTTGTGGATTCGTCGTCTTAAATATATTTCCTTTTACTCATACAGCAGCTAATGCCAATCTGTTTAGAAAATCCGACAATCATGGAGCAAATATAACCTATTCAACCTGCAGCGCCTGCGTAACCCCCCAACCGGCAGCAAAACATTTTTCCAACAAAAATGGACGGCCAAGTCCATGGCCAGATCATACCATGGTGAACAAGTCCGTGAGAGCCAATGGGCGCGCATGTTCTCCCGCCGCATCCGCAGCGTCGTGCCGATGAGCCCAGCTAGATTAGCCCAGGATGACGGCTCCGGGATGTCCGCTGGTCGTGGAGCGGGTGTAGAGGGTACCAGGGACTTCCCTCGATTAACACCCTTTACACAGATGACGTTTGCTCCTCTGGAGCGTCGATTGGATGTGGCTATCTTTCGAGCTATGTTTGCTAGCAGTGCTAGACAGGCTCGGCAGTTTGTTGTTCACGGTGCGGTGACGGTTAATGGGAAGCAGGTATGCTTTAATTCTCACATTGAGATTCAATGCCTAGTGAACTAACCCTATGGTTCTCTAGATGAGATACCCCGGTTACCTCCTCAACCCTGGCGATCTTTTCCAGGTCGACCCCGAGCGTGTCATGTATGCAACTGGTGCCCCTAAAGATAAGCATGAACGTCGAGAGGGGCGTGTTGCCCGGAAAAAGTCGGCAGAGTCGCAAGAAGTGGAGGCGGAGGCGAAGGAGGAGGGTGCTGCGGAAGAGTCGGTAGAGAACAAGGAAGCCGAGTCTGAGGAACAGAGCCAGACGAAGGAGAATGACGATCCACGGGAAACTCTAAAGGCCCTGCTGGCCCAGGCCAAGAATATCATGGCCGGCAGTAAGGATGTGCTCCCCGCGAAGCGCAAGCAGGAACTGCGTGGATTCCAGAAGGCCGTCAAACGTGTCCTCTCTCGCTCCGATTCAAGCACCGTTCTCGCCGACAACCTTGAATCGCAGTTTTCTGAGCTCATTACCCTCCTCAAGGCCAAGCCTGCGGAGAAGAAAGACACTAAGCGCTCTAAGCGTGATCAGTCTTCCGACGACGAGACTAAGAACGTTTCCGAGTCCGCATCCGAATCTGCTACTGCCAGTGAATCCCAGCCCGGAGAGGCCTTGACTGAGGCTTTCCGACAGGCCGCCGAGAACCCCGAGGAAGAAGTTGACACCTCGGAACTTACAGACGAGGAGTTTGATGTGCTCAAGCGGGCTCTCGTCCAGATGCGTGACAACCCCATCGACAGCACAAAGCCCTACGCCACCCCCTGGAGGCCCCGCGATTACATGAGCGCTTTCGCCTTCATCCCCCGATACCTCGAGGTCAACCACAACATCTGCGCAGCGGTCTACCTGCGCCATCCGGTGGCTCGTCCTGGTTACTCGGAGGTGCCGACACCGTTCGGTGAGCCCGTTGGTACAGCCGCTTTCGCCTGGTACCTGAGACGGCGGTAGACAAAGCAACGACCATGTAATAATCATTGTATTTTCTCCTTAGGCTTCTCTCTTCTTCTTACGTTCTGCGGGCATGTTCCACAGCCATGTATTACTGGGTATTTGGTCTGTTCTTGTTATTTTGGCATATGTCCGTTCTCATAGATGTACCGTATCTATCTATCGATCTACCTTGTGTTCCCTGAGGGAGGACAAAATCATGTTTGGTTTTGGACTGATAGCGCACACCCCTGTACAATCAAGTGAATATAAATACAACCTCAAATTTCAAATTCAGGGCTAATATATTATAGAAGATTTGAATGGGAGCGACAGGCTGGCAGACCCGCTAGTTCTAGACCAAACTATATATATTGATGTGTCATGGGATGGGCAAGACGTATGCTAATTACATTTCAAACTAGCTGAAAAATACAATACCAGCCTACACATAACCCGCTTATCACTTATCAGCCGGGTAAAATTGCAAAGCACCGGCCCATTTTTCATTCTACCACCGATACATAATACATACCACACCCACTCTAGAACCCAGACTCGCCACAACCAAGAAGCAACCAGGGGGGGGGAAAAAGAAAGAAATCGCCCATCACACACAAAAAAGAACCTCTCCAACCCAGAACCTGGATCTCTTAGATCCGCCCCAAAAAGCGACCCAATGTATTCCTGGCATGGGCATGGTCCGAACCATCATGCAGCGGCCAACGCAGCCACGACGACGCCGGGCCGTCGACTCGAATCGCCCAATCCCCCGTCCCACTCCTCGTACATGTCGCAGCTCCGATGGCCGGCGTCTATGATGTCGCGCTCGCATAATGCGCCCCCCGGTGCGTTGCCGACCCTCTCGTCGAATTTGAGGATGGGTGCAGCTGCCGCACCGGGAGGAGGGGCTGCTGCGGTTGGGGGTGGTACGGCCGGCGGGAAGGTCATCGCTGGCTCAGGGCCGAGGAATAATACGCCGCAAAATGCGCCGGGTGTCTCTGTGGTGGTTGAGTCGCGGGTTTCGGCGGAATCGATCGAGAGCTCCGATAGCGATCAGTCGGATGTTGCGAGCGGGGGGCGCGATGTGGTGGGGGCGGATGCACTGGGGGATACAGATTATGTGCCATCGCATGGGGGCGTGCAGGATTCGAGGAGGGGAGGGGAGGGAAGTGCTGGCGCAGCAACAGCGACCGGAGGAGCGGTGATGGGGTCTGCGGGGAGGAATAGTATTATGGATCGGGCGTTGGGCGACGACGACATGGATAGTAGCGGGATGGCAGGAGATACGCCCCGCAAGCATGGCAAGCGGCTGACAACGTTGGAGGAGGTGTCATTGTTCAACATCTGTAATCGACATGCGGAGGAATTCGGACAGCGCAGTAACCTGTGCAAGTGGTGGATGACGGTGACGGCAGAGTTCACGCGCGATCAGGGACATCCGTATTCGTGGCACTCGGTGCGGCGGAAGGTTGAACTGGTCACGAAGCAGCGCATGAAGTTTCTCGAGGAGCAGCGAGAGAAGGGTGGCTTGGAGAACGAAGATCTATCCAATCCCCGATGGCGTTCAGCTGTCGACGCCTGGATTCCGACATGGCAGCGCTGGGAAGAGGCAGAGGCACGGCGGATCGAGAAGCGCGACTCACGCCGGTCTCGCAAGCGGAAAGAAAGGTCTTGGGAACCGGCGTGGGATGCTCCGAGTTCGAACGGGTGGAGGCAAACGTCCAGCCCAGCAGTGGATACTACCACGATCAGTGGAAACCAAAGTCAAGGCCAGCTGCCGCCTCCACCTGCCCCTGCCACTGCTACTGCTGCCCCTGTTACGCCTAATCTAGTCCGGTTGCCGCCTGGATTTGAAAACATGTTTGCGAATCAACCAGCCAATTCAGCTGGGTGGCCGTCCCAGCATCCAGCGTCCACGTCTGCTCCCCCTTCAGCTGGGGAGAATGGCATGATGAGTGCTGTCATAGAAACACTAGGCAAACTGAACAAGCATTTAGATGCTGTGAGCTCAGAACCTCAGTCATCGCCTTTAATCGCATCATTGGCCTCGAGCTCAGACTCCCAGCGTCGTGCAAGGCCGTCTAACCAAGAGGAAGCCACCCCCAACGAAGGCGAGAGGCAGGTGAAAGCATTGCCGGCGTCGGCCATCAAGCAGCTCAAGGAGGAACTTCGACAGGAGTTGCGGGATGAGCTCCGGTCAGAGCTAGAAAAGGACCGAGCGGCGTTGGAAGAGAAGTTGGATTCTGTACAGAGAACACAGGAAATGATTCTTGAAATGCTAAGACAGGAGCCTGCGTGATTTTTTTTGTTCGGTTTGTTGCTTGATCTTATTGCTATGATACCCATTTGGCGAACAGCGTATCCCTGTCCGAGTCATATTGCAGTGCGGAAACTTCACCGATAATGTCTACATACACGATAAGGAGACTTAATTCATTTACCATTAATGTTCGAACAATCTCCAATAATATATTCCTAACGTTATAGGAGAATAATGCAAAAATAAAGATATAAATCCCCGGCTAAATTACATAGTAAACGTGCATGGTAATGCTGCATAGGAGCCTGCCAATTTAATTGTTTTTATACTTCCTCCGTCGTTGTCATCCCCGATGAGAAGCCCTCTCGCGTCATACTTAGTAGTAGAAGGTCTCATCAACGGTGCGACCCCTCATCCACTGGGGCTCGCTGCCACGGACGTAGATGTCCTCAAAGAGAATACGAGTGCTGTTGTCAGGAACGGGCATGTTCTCGGCGATGGCGACCTCCTCGTCAACAAAGGCACGAGCGGCCTTGTCCAGAGCCTTGAGCTCGTCCTCGGTCATGACCTTCCAGTCAAGGATCTTCTGCTTGAGACCGGCAATGGGGTCGTGGGTGCTGCGCATGCGCTGGATCTCCTCACGGCTACGGTAGGTGGTACCGGGGTCGGACATGGAGTGACCTCCGTAACGGTAGGTGACGTACTCCATCACGAGAGGGCCGTTGCCAGAGACAGCATAGTTCTTGGCGTATTGAACGGCAGCCTTGGTGGCAAGGACATCCATGCCGTTAACCTTGATACCAGGGATGTACTGACCACGCTTGTAGTACTCGGTCAAGGCGGAGGAACGAGCGGCGGAAGTACCCATACCGTACTTGTTGTCTGTGGCAGGTCAGAACCCCTTCACTTTCACTGACCTTTGATCAAGAAGAACTTACTCTCACACCCGAACAGAACTGGAAGGTTCCAGAGCTTGGCCATGTTGAAGGCCTCAAAGACCTGACCCTGGTTGGAAGCACCGTCACCGTACAGGACAATGCTAGTAGTAGGCTCCTCGTTGTACTGCTGGGCGAAAGCAAGACCAGCACCAACAGGGACCTGAGCACCGACGATACCGTTACCACCGTAGAAGTTAGGAGCGAACATGTGCATGGAACCGCCCTTTCCGTAGGCGATACCCTCACGGCGACCGAGCAACTCTCCGATAATGGACCGGATGGTACCACCGCGCATGTAAGCGTAACCGTGACAACGGTAGGCAGTGATGATCTTGTCGTCACGGGTGATGGCGTGCTCGATACCAGTCGCGACGGCTTCCTGGCCGGTCGACAAGTGGCAGAAACCTCTGATCTTCTTTTCCTTGTAGAGACGATCGGCGGCCATCTCCATGCGCCTAAAGTAACAGGAGAGCGAAACGTTAGATCCAGATCGCCACAGCACGAAGGATTCCGCGGTCATGCATACCTGGTCGAGACCATATCATGGTACATCTGCTTCAGCTCCTTCTTGGTGACCTCCAGGGTGTAGGGAGGGGGATCGATCTCATAGGTCTCAAAGCTCTCATCGGAAAGCTGGACAGTGAAAGGCTTGTCATCCTCCTGTGGTAAGCGCACGGCGCGTTAGCATCACTGTATCAGAGACTTTTCCGAAGGGCTCAACAAACCTGCGGAACATTCTCAGCATGCGACGAGGCGGCGTCGGTGGTGACGGAGCGACGGGCAAGGGGAGTGAAAGCGTGACGCCTCAAAGGCGCGGCTTGACGGGCCCACGCAGTGCGGAACAACATTCTGGGCAGGGCAGGAGGTCCAATTGATGGAGAAAGGAGCTGGAGGAAGATCAGGGAGATTCTGTTATCTTTCAACAACGGAGATGTTGGGAACAAACTTTCCCCTGCGGCTAACGGCTTTGGGCAATGGCTTATCTAAGCTGACTTTCCATTCGGGACCTACCGGTGTACACCCTGCAAACCTGGCAAACATTCATCTCTATTCTCCTCTTTACATCATACAACAACCCTACGGAACAGGAGGTTTCTTTCTCAATTATCTTCAAAAGCTTGTCGATGGCCGTCAGTAGGTACTTCTCTGCCATAGATGATTATTCAGCCTCCCCGTAGATACGCCGTTGATGTTGATCCGGCCCTCCCGGCGGATGCCACCGATCCTGATCCTGCATACGTGTTGGACCGGCGTACGCCATTCCTGGAATCACCTGACTTCTCCTCGGAGTTTCATGGATTCAACATCAATGGGCGGTCAATCCCCGATTACGATGTGGGATGGAAGCACTGCATAACATAAACAGTAAATACTTGGATCGTGAGGGATCAGGGAAGTCGGTATCAGCAAAACTTCGATGACTTTTGACCAAGGGAGGACGTCCTTTTGTTTTTGGCGAGATACAATTGCATAAGATGGCCTTCCTTAAGATCAAACAGAGGACTGTTCCCGTGCAAATGACACAAGGCTTGTGCCAACCTTGTTTCGCTCGCCCTTTTGCTTGGATGCGTCGTAACTGAGATACCTTTAGAGATCAACACCGTGATGTAGTCAGGGCTGCGAAATTGGGACTGCATGATATACGCTGGCAAACCGTCCACTGCTGTGAGCAATGAGACAGTAAGTGAATTGAAGGCAGCTCAGTATCGGTCCTTGAAACCTCACCGTTGGGTCCTGGCCTAGAGAGATGACAGTAACGAGTTATGACCCTTGGTATATACTTCATCTATACCAGGACACTCTACCATCGGTAAACAGGTGGAAAACCGCCACCTAAAAGTGCTCTCGCCGTATTCATACACATATATCGGGATCAATGCCGACAGCATATCTCCTTAGAACTGTACCAGATTGCATATTCACCGATTCGCGAAGGGGCCTGGCTCCCTGGGTTGTTAGTCGCACTCTTGTCCTTAGTCTCGGCGGCATGCGTATGGCAACAGACAAGCTGCTCAAGATGCCAGTGATCGAGATGAATTCCTAGAATTTCAAATTTCAATGCGTCCTACACCCAATATTAGTACACATTCTTAAACATCCGGTTGCGCTTCGGTATGATCATGCTAGATTGAAGGAGCTTGTTCACAGAAGACAGTAGAGTTGACTCACTCCAGCACTACTATGCAATTAATTTGGCAGAAAATTGATTGGACGTCGATTGGTTCGACCTGAGTTGGTCAATCTTGAGAGGGGACGACGTTGTAGATGGGCAACACTATGGAGTACATTGTCGCCATTGTTGATATGGCACAGATCGATGTGGGTCATTCTCCCTTAATGGTTAACTAAGCGACCATCTATCAAATTGCTTGGACAGAAATGCCAACCCCGACTGGAAGGCGATGAACGGGACGATCGGATCTCCGATCGTGGGCCTAATTAGGGTCCAAAATGTGAGATTCGATGGATTATCAACAACACCAACTGAACTATTGCGTATTTTCAGCCAGCCTGTTTCACATAAAAATACCGCAGAACATATTTGTCAAGCTCCACGAGCCTTTTTGCTCTCCCCCGAATTAACTTTTTCAGTATCCTGTTTCAACGGAAGCCTAGGGTAGGTTACATCGAGGCAATTCCCTAGGTTTTAAGAGTAATATTTTTTCTTGTTTTGTTTTGTTTTGTTTTTTTTTTTAGCACGAACCATTGAACCATGAAGATCTTGGTCTGGGCTGTTTCGTGGGTAGGTTGACTACTAGGTAGTAGCCGGTGACAAATCTTCTCCAAGGCAAATCTGGGTCACAAACCTAATAGCTTGCCGCCACCGTTGATTGGGACTGGATGATGCCTGTATGTACTTGCCCACTTTCGGTATGGTAGAGTGTTAACGTTGTAGGGGGATCGGTCTCCGTAGTTCAGCCGAGATGTGTCGGGGTGGGCTCCTCAACGTGGCAAGAGCTGTGGATAAGCTGAGTAGAGGTATCTTTTTTAGGAATGTCGCAAGGAGATGGTGTCAGAACTAGTGACTGAGAAAAATTTGGACGGACAGCCAATTCTGTAACCCCCATGTGATTCAAACTTGTCACTAGGTATTTGGATTTCTTGGCCGGTGTGAAGTCAGACTTCTCAATGTCGATATGGGCATATAGGTATGGGCAATCATTCGATGCGCGAGTCCATAGACAGCATGATCAGCTCAACTACATGTACGGAGTACATACGTATGTACATACATACTATTACTCTACATCTCTGTCCCACCGTACCTTTCTCTCGGGTTATCCGACTAACCGAAAAGTCTGTAACCGCCAACAGCGCGCGGTTCCTGACTTGAAACGGACCAATTGCACGTATCTCAACGGGCACTATCTCATCGCTCACCAGGGATGAACCACGGATGATTCCCATATTCCGCCCATTATCCACCGTTAAGAACCCATAAATTTCCAGAAAAAGCACGTCGACCGATGCGACTAGCCTTGTTTTGACTGCTACAAATCCTCCGTCAAACGAACTCAATGACAAGTGGGGGTTGGATAAAGTTTTCTTATTTAATTGAAAATTGATTAACAGACGGCTTGATATTGTCCTCACGATGTATTTGTACTGCATCGTAACGGTATTGTGGGATTGAAGGTGAAAACCCATGTGAAGACAATTTTGTATTCGGAAAAATCCCCCTTCTTAATTTGGATGATCTTGATAGTACTATAGTACTACTATATTCGAAGTTATCACCAGTTGACTTCGCTTTCTTCGTGGCTAACCGTGAGGTGCTTTCCATTTTGCGGAACCAATCTGCATGAATCTACACAGTACTTACTAGTATTAGTACTACGCAGTAGTGGTGGAAATTAAGCCCAGTTTGAAGTCCGGAGAAGCCCGGCAAATGACTCCGGAGGGCAAGGTCAACGTGGCCAATATCCGCTACCTACTACTAGTGTTGTTTATATGTACTCCGTATGTACGGAGTATGCATGTACGTATGTAAAACCAGTCCTGTTACCACGGTGGGTGGTACTCCGTACGTATGGATGTACTTTAGAGTGTATGATAATGTGACTATGTGTAGCATGCATATGGTACTCCGGTACGCAATGC